ACTGTAAGCATACTTAAAGGACACAGCATCTTGGCCATATACTTAGCAATTAGGCATGAGCGGTTTTAGCTTTTCAATCGAAGATGAAAAAGACAGGCTGTTGGAAATGCCTAATTTCTGGAGTTGACAATCCACTTTGAGCACATGAATGTCAGCGGGAAGAAAAATTCCAAGAAAACTGAGAAGACTATCGTACAGAGCAAGGAATTCTCTGCAAAGTAACGTAAAGCTCAATGGCACAACTCTTCATCTCTCGCGCAATGTTTCGATTCTGAAAGAAAAACGCCTTTACTCATGGGCTGACCCAATATTTCACGAGTTCCCTCTAGCACCTTGGCAGCAAGGGCGCGCAGGGTCGCCACATACATAGTTCGTGAAGTCGTGTAAGGAGAAAATTTTCCGCACTAAAAAACCTTGGTAGCGGAAACGTTCCGACGGAAACTTTAGGGCAAAAATGATTCCAGAACCCGCTAATCATTGCTATATAATGAAGACGGAGACGTTGTGTGGCATATTGATGCTGATCTTTGAACAGAGTAGGTTGATGAACAGATAGCGCGGCGATAAGCTCATCACTAGGGTGACGACTAAATATTAGGTTGTCCGTTGTTGTTAGCGTTTTGTGTTACTATTTTTTGTACATTCATTGCTGATTAAAAACTCATTCTCCCTTGCGTCTCAGTAGTACATCCTGAAGAGAATTTTTTGCGCTATCTGATGGTATAATTGCCGTTTCACCATCCTACTATATATAAACGGCAACGTCTGTCTGTTTGTCTGTTTGTCTGTCTGTCCGGAAATTCGGAATCACCTGAAGAGCCAGTTGGAGGGGGCGGGTCAAGGGTGGGTTGGGTAGGGCATGGGTCAAGATGTACGGAACACACATGAACTGAGCTAAGCTCCGAACTTACTGTGGGATAACCGTAGGCAGTATACCGAATGGTTGGTGCCGTCTATTCTGCGCTTCCGGCGAAGCCGGCCGGTCCGACTGGCCCTCCCACTCATGGAAAACTTCTCACAGGGACCCACTTCACACGCGGAAGGAGGATCGGCCGGCGAAGCCGGCCGATCCGACTGGTTGCTTGATATACCCCCTTTTCCCAAGACTTTTTGAAGCATGTCAAAAGAGCAACTTCGGACGATATTTTTCTTCAACTACAAATTGGGTCAATCCGCAGTCGAGACAGCTCGACAAATTAACCAGGTGTGGGGGCCCAATAGTGTTGGAGAAAGCACCGTGCGACAATGGTTCGACAAATTTCGTTCTGGAGATTTCAGCCTTGAAGATGAACCTCGTAGCGGTCGACCTAAAGCAATACCTGACGAGGATTTGAAGGCGTTTGTGGAGGCTGACCCATCCCAACAGTTCGAGAGATTGCAGAAAAGCTAGGCGTTGGCAAATCCACTGTTGCGGATGGTCTGAAACGCATTGGGAAGGTGAAAAAACTCGACAAGTGGGTGCCCCACAATTTGAGTGACCGGCAGAAATTGGCACGTCTCGAGGTTTCCTCTTCACTGCTTTTGCGCAACAGAAACGACCCGTTTTTGGACCGAATTGTCACCTGTGTGTTGGTCACGGTCAATGATAGCGGAGCAGGTTTCCGACACTGGTTGGTGCCCGCACGCCCGCCCCCGAACACCGAGGCAATTTCCAAAGCCGAATCCTCACGGAAAAAGTTATGGTCCCGGTGTGGTCATCGGCTGGTGTGATCCACTATAACTTTTTGTCACCAGGCCAAACCATCACAGCAGAGTCCTACTGTGAAGAAATCGACGAAATGTACCGAAAATTGCGTCAGCTGCAGCCAGCACTTGTCAACAGAAAGGGTCCGATTCTTTGCATGAGAACGCCCGCGCCCTACCATAAATTGAACGAGGGTGGGTTGAAGTTCTGGCCTCACCCATATATGCCATATTTCGCACGACCTTTCACGCAATCCGCCTATCACCTTTTCAAACATTACTCGCTGGAAAATACTTCATCAATCAGGACAGGCAAAAAAAGCCTTCGTGGATTCTCGACCATTCAGTTTTGATTTACTGACTACTGTTACATGTGCTGGCGAAAGTGTGCTGATTTGGGTGCTTATTTCCGATTGAATCCGACGATACTTACGGCAAAGTTGTGCATCGTTTAAAGTGAAACTCGCCTTAAAACGCTGAGAACTTTCCGGAACAACCGTTAATTGGAAGTATGTTGATGGATTTGGAGCAACTTTACAAAAAAACCCTATCATTCCCATGTCGGATTGATCTTACTTGGTAGAAACATTGCCTATTTAATCCTCTTTCTTGTAAGTAAATATGTTTCTGAATTCAAGTAAGCACTCATTGTACTCTAATGTCACATTCAACAAAGCTGCTCAAAACACTAAATTTCAATTTTCAAGTAGTCTGATTTGTAGAACCCATCTCTGCTCTCCGACCGATCAAAATCCGCTATTTACACAGCATGTGGTATCCTCTTTTTCTTGCGCTTAGGTTACGCTGATGCCGGTCACCATCACAAGAGTGTCCATTTAGAAACAAAAAGTATCCAATCGGTAATTCGATCGTAAGTGAACAATGCGCGACCTTGATTACTTAGCGACACAAAGGATGTACTTTTAAAGAGGTACTACTTCTTGTTTTCGGTTAATTCATCCAACCAGTTTCAGCTCATCACTACATATGTGAACAACGTGCAGGTGCGTTTTCTTCTCTCCTGAAGCGAAAAGACCTTTCTGAAACTGCTGCATGAAATTATAGCCGTCACTCGGAAATGAGAGTCTGTAGCTGAAAAAGAAACATGGAGAAAAAGGGCTGATGAAAAATGGCTACAAAACACCTCCATGAATAAGGACAAAGCCGACCAGTTCATTGCCGATCTAATTTTTTCTCGCATGTAGTCGGGCGTACTGGGTGGAACGACAGTTTCCAGGTATTCTCCTTGCTGTCGCTGAAGTCACGGTGTGCAGTCGAAGCCATGGTCGAACTACGTTTGTTGTTATATCTCGTATTTCTATGCACCGATTTCAAGTCCATATGTGGTGAAAGGTGAGGACCGTTCGCCTATGTGCAACGTCTATAGCTGGATTAGTAAACTTTTCCTCGACTTCTGAGTTTGTTAGGAAAGTTTTCAGCTCTGCCCTGCCTACAGATTCATGCTAAGCTATACACCATTTTCATTTCAAATTCCAGCATTTTTCAAGTCAATTTTCACGCCTTTTGAAACCCAATTCAAGGCTTACTTACCCTTGCCTCCAATCTACGGCAAGCCCCGTCCCTAGAACCAAGCCAACATTTCAGCGTGGTCGTGATTTTGAAATTTTCTCATAACTTTATTGACATTTTTGCATTATTATTCGCATATACACACTAGCTTAGAAGGGGTGTACGTAGGCAATGCGCAACTACGCGCACTTTCCAAAGGATTTGTCGCGAGTTACGACTCTTCATAACTTTTTTCAGCGGATTGCTCTCATTCTTACTTTTCACACAACAGAGTTAGTCGTAGACGCACATTTCTGCACTGGCACTGGCCCCGGCCTATTGGAGCTCGTTACGCCCGTGTTCGCGGCATTTTGCGGAATTCTGTTATCCTTTCGACATTTTCGCAACCCTACTACGTATAACCTCGCCCACCATGGAGTTCGTGAATTGAGTGTTGCTGAGGGAATGGTAACAAGTCGTACATCAATTTCTGAGAGCTGGACACCTGAGCTGCCAAACTTATTGTTTTCGTGAATAGTGTAGCAGATTTTGTCGTAAGAACTTACCACTGCTGCCTTTATCTGTTTTTATCAATTCCTGGCACGAGCCGTCGGTAACCCCGTCCTTAACTCTATGCCATGATGAATAGTACTATGTCACCATTGGGGCTGCGAGAGGGCGCCGTGAAGAAACCGCGCCGCACACGCGCATGGGTGAGTTTTTCCCTCCTCCCCTGCGAGAGACACTGAAATTTGATTCAGAGCTCCGGACATGAATTTGGTGATCTTATTTGAAACTCCCTTATCAGCTCTTATCAGTCGTTGTCATCACCACATCGCCGTCAATGTCGGGACCCCAGGTTATGGAACCAAGGTTCCATGGTTGCTGTGTACTTTTGACTTGTGACCGTCTCCTACTAACTCCTATGATCAGATTATTACTTTCTGTCACCCATCAATAATGTTCCGCCACCTGTTTAGCACCTTTTGGAGCCAACGTCCCTTAGCTACCGGGTCGTATGCTATGAATATTGTGACAGATAGACAGACAAACACATCCGCCTCAGGCAGACATACATTTACACTAGTATATAAGGAAAACAATGCTGCTCCGTGAGAAATATACAGGGGGGGGGGAGGGGCAAAAAAAGTCACTTTTCTTCATTGACTTTCGAGGCGCTATAAGTTACACTTTATTAAATTCTGATCGGACATTTCTACCACATAATCAACAGCCTTCTGGTGGAGCGCCGTCGAGATCTGCCACGCAACCGTGATTCGGTACCTGGCTTCAGCGAGATAGCTGATTTCTCGGCCACTGCAGACCACCTTGTTGAGCTCCGCCCGAACTCGGTAATTGAGAGAGTTTAGGTCAGGGGACATACTTGATATTCCATCTTCTTCAGGTACTCAACGCCCTTCCATTCCAAGTAGGCGAGAGTTTTTCCAACGCCCTTCGATTCCATGTGGTGGCACCCAAGTCTTATTCTACTGGGTTGATCGAATAGTTCTGTAACGCTTTGAGCGGAGAAGCAATCAGGATAATCCTTTTTGCCCAGGGTCTTCGATTATCATGTAGTCATTATAGCACCTTAGGTAAGTCCTCGTTCATTGAGCACCTTTCCACCTCTAGAGATCTGGCGACAGCGACGAAGGGATTTAGCTGTCTGCGTGGTGCATTTTCGATGCGAATAAGAGCTAATCAAAAGGAGCCAGGTATTGCCATTCTGCTGGGATGTGGTTCAGGAATGAACTGAGCCTTTCCAACAAATTTGAAGTGAGTTACCTCTGAAAGTCAGCGACAGCCATTGTTGTACCACTATCCAAAAATATTTTTTTGGAGGCCGTTGGCACGATAATTGGGTACTCTGTTTGAAATGGGCAGGAGGGCTATGTAGCACGAAAATAGCGAGAAAACGAAACTAAACGGTCAAAAACTTGAGGCCTTCTTTCTACACTACTCAGAAAGCTATCCGCGTTCCCCCTTGGCATCGTGCCAGTATCGTGCTACGGTAGATAAGGGTGCATGGGTTTAAAGGCAGTTGGCACGATGGTTTGGTACTCGGCCTAAAATGGCGAAAGAAAGGAGTGGAACTGTCAAAATCCTGCGAAGAAAAATCCTGCGTTCTCAGCGACTTCAAAATCCGCAATTTCGGACGAGTTTCCCGTAGGCACCTTGTCAATCACCGCTACCGAAGATACGGCTGCATATGCGTACTCATACAATGCAGCATCACGGCCATTCATACCATTCCCTTCGCTTCATAATTTGCTGTGTTGGGATGCTACGTGAATGTGTTGGGATGCTACGTGAATCACTTGAGAAACTACAATGCTGCCTCACTGTGTGCCAAATAAAGTACTTTTTCACCTTGACTTGTATTGTTTTCGATGCAGTGTCGACGAAGGTCTTATTTGCTGTGCATACTCAACATTAGAAACCAGTTTGGCTAACGCGCAGTACTGCGCGCATGGTTAAATACTGATCAGGAAGAAAATGCGAGGGGGGTCGCTTGTAGGTAGGCAGTGAGGCCTTGAGGAGGCAAGGCGGAGCAGGGTCGTATGCAGGTTCGCTGAAATCCGCATTCCCATTTTTCGAGATACGGCCCATTTCATCATATTTTTCGTTTTTAATGAACAATTACCAGTAACTGGCTCCTATCACATTTTTGACAACACTCGGCCATTGTGGTAGGGAGGCAGCCTGATGTGTTGAGAGATTCGAGGGTAATGAAGCATCGATTATCATGGTGAAGATGCCTCACATACCTAGTACATCATTGTGAGCAACTCTCGGGGGTTTATACTTTTTCTTGAAAGCAACTAACAAGTTTAAGGAACCGAATCAAATCCAACTGTATCGGAACCATAGAAACATGTTGGCTCACTAAACCTTTACCCATGATCGTTGGCCACGGTGATCTGAGCATATGCGACTCCTAAAGGCCCTTCAGGCCACTGATCCGGAACTTTATCCTCCGACTACTAACTGAAGTAATCCTAAGTCACCTCGTAAAACTTCTTCTTCTTCTTCTTTAGCGTTTGTCCCGCTCAGCGGCGGGGTCCGCTCTTCTAATGTGATGACGCCACTTTTTCCGATCAAATGCCTGATCGGAGTGAATTCCAGCTATTTTCAAGTCTGTATGCAACGTATCGAGCCAGCGCTGTCTGGGACGTCCCCTAGGTCGCTTTCCGGCCACTTCAAGCTGAAGGCCAGCTCTACAGACGGTGTCAGCCTTGCCCCGCCATTTGCCCGAAGCACATGACCGTACCATCGAAGGCGCGTTTCTCGCATTTTGTCAGCTATAGGAGCTATGCCGAACTTCTTGCGTATTACCTCGTTACAAATGCGGTCCAAACGCGTGACACCCGCAGTCCAACGCAACATCTTCGTCTCCATCACACTGAGACGGGCTTCGACTTCTTTGGTAGCGGGCCAGCACTCGGCGCCATATAGGGCGACTGGTCGAACGACACTTCTGTAGATCTTCGACTTTAGCCGTTCTGACATCTTCCTGTCGCAGAGGATCCCCGACATGCATCGCCATTTTGCCCACGCTGCACTCACCCGTGCGCTCACCTCCTTTTGAGATCTCCATCGGACGTAATTGCTGATCCAGATACTTGAATGTTTTTGTACGCGTGAGCTCAGTGCCACTGATTTTGATGGAGCCCGCCTCGGCTAGGTCGGTTGTCAGGTACTCGTCTTATTCACGCTTAACCTGAGCCCAAACTTTGCCAGGCGATCAGCCCAAGCTTGCACTTGTTGCTCTAGTGTGGTCTTGTCTTCGCATGCAAGCATCACATCATCAGCATAAAGGAGCGTCCAAGGAATTTCCTTCTGAAGGTCTCGTGTGATGGCATCCATGACGACAACAAAAAGGAGTGGGGAGAGAGCGGAGCCTTGGTGTACCCCTACAGTGATGGGGAACTCCATCGAGGTGCCTGCAAGAGTCCGCACATGACTCTCTGGCTTTGGATAAAGGATGCGGACCCACTCGATTAGCTCTTCAGGGACACCCGTTGTCGCAAGGCGTACCATATAACGTCTCGTGGCACGCGATCAAATGCCTTTTCCAGATCTAGAAAGGCTACATGCACAGGCTTTTGCTTCTCACGATGTTTCTCAAGCAAAAGGCGGGCAGCGTGAATGGCGTCGATGGTGCTACAGCCAGTTACGAAGCCACACTGGTTGGCAGAGAGCTGGACTATGTCACGAATACGGCCATCAACAACTCGCTCAAAGATTTTCATAGTGTGCGAGAAGAAGGCGAATTGGACGGTAGTCCGAGCAATCTACTGGACTGCCCTTCTTCTTCCGATATCGGAAAGTCGTGCTTTGGCATCCCAGTCCTTGGAACTTCTTTGTGCAGTGATCTGGTTGAAAAGCTTTGTCAGCCATTCTGCGGAGTACCAGTGCTGTGACTTCCATAAGTCCGCTGCTAAGTCGTCGCGGCCTGTAGCTTTACCTGCCTTCATCTTCTTCAGAGCCGCTTCTGTTTCCTCAACGGAAATCTTCCGGAGGGGACCGTATGTTGGCGCCGCAGAGGGGATAAGCGGATGGGTGAATTCCTTTGTCGAGATTTTCTCGAAATAGTCGTGCCATCGCTGCAATACCCTCTTTCGGTTCATCAGAAGATGGCCATCCTCGCCATTGATGCCAAAAAACTTTTCTATGTCTTCGGTTTGGCGATGACGAGATTTGGCAAGTCGGTACAAGTGCCGCTCACACGTCGCGCGTCTCGAGTTTCTTGCTGATATTGTCGAAATGAGAGGCCTTAACTACGGCCCCCCCCCCCGCCCCCCCCCCCCCCCGCCCCCCCCGGGGGGGGGGGGGGAAAAAAT